TTCTTTCTTTCTTTCTTTCTTTCTTTCTTTCTTTCTTTCTTTCTTTCCTTCTTTCTTTCTTCCTTCCTTCCTTCCTTCCTTCCTTCCTTCCTTCCTTCCTTCCTTCCTTCCATCCTTCTTTCCTTTCTTTCTTTCTTTCTTCCTCCCTTTCTCCCTTTTTCTCTTTCTTTCTATGAAAAATTCACTTGGGATATTTAGGTAATAGTATTTTAAAGTAGCCCATAAATGAGCTATTGGACCTGGATAGAGACGGCCATAACAACATGTTCAAGCAACAAAATGAACAAAAGAACCTTTGGAATGTATCTGGTTGTTCAAAAATAGGAGGTTCTTTCTTTCCTTTTTTTTTTTAAGGCTCTAAGAAACTAAAATTCCTCTTTAAGGATTTTGTTGCTACCTTTCCTACAAAAAATTACCCAGATTACTTCTTGACCTCTACTTTGAGAGCACAGGAAGTCTTGCTGTACAATATTAAGTAACTTAGCTCTGAAGCTTACAGGTAGCTTTTTTTTAATTTTTAATTTCTTTTAAAGATTTTATTTATTTATCTGACACAGAGAGAGAGAGAGAGAGAGCACAATAGGCAGAGAGGCAGGCAGAGGGAGAGGGAGAAGCAGGCTATCCACTGAGCAGGGAGCCCGACCCCAGGACTCTGGGATCATGATCTCAGCTGAAGGTGGCCGCTTAATGGACTGAGCCACCCAGGCACCCCTAGGTAGTTTTTTATCTGAATAGTATATCCTAAATACTGTATGTAATTCCTGAATTGCTTGTACATTTGAACCTATTCCATCCCTGGATTATAGTATATATTCCTTACATAAACTTTTAAGAGAAAAGGCATTCAAGGTACATTTTTATATTTTATATACATATATAATATATATATAGATATATCCTGTAAGCAATAATTGAAGTTTGAAAAATATTATCACACTTGCAACTTTCATACTTGGAAAAGCATATACTAATTTGAAATTATTTTTGAAAGATCTGTCATAAACCAAATAAGAATGTGAGAATCCAGGACAACTTATAAAAATTTTCTTCAAAAAGAAGTTAAGTGTTTATGCTAAGGTCCAGTTTGTTACCAAAGAAAGCCCAGAAACAGCTAGGAAGCCTACTCCACTTTATTTATTATGATAAGAACCATTTGAGCATCATAGGCATCATATTAATCGAGGTGATCACTATAACTTCCAAACTCATTTTAGTGTAAATACAAAAATTCTACACTAAAGTAAAGCTGTTTTGACTTGAGATAAGTCTGATAAATAACTTTGAAAATGTCCATCAATTTATTATTTTACAAGCAGTTTTTCAATTTTTCTGCTATGCACTGTTTTAGGCACTGAAGTACAAAAATGAACACAATATAAAATTCTTGCCCTAAGGGAGTTCACATTTTAGTGAGGGGTATCTTTTCTTTCTCTTTTTCACAGGTATTTAATATGTAGTTTTCATATACAGTTAGGGAAACAGTATGTTACAGGACCCAAAGAAAAAAAAAGCAGCATTAGTTGAAAGATGTTGGAAGTGGGTTTGTCTTGACTGTACTGTGAATTGGTTGTTGAATTAAATTAGCGTTTCACAAGTATCTATTTAAATCCATATTGTTGACATTACAGTGAAAGCAGTGAAACTTGTCAGCAGATGATTAAGTTTTATGGTTGATGTCCACACTTTTGTAGCTTGGGAACAATATCAAGTTTCTGGGAAAAACATCCTTCCTCTCTCCCCTCCCTCCCTCTATCATTTCATCAGGGGCTCAGTCTGTTGGTGTTAGGTGTGTTCTCCAAATAAAGGTGTATCACAAGTATTCTTTTTTCATTTTTCACTTAAAATGAGAAGAGTGACTTCAATTTCTCAGTTTTTTTTTTTTCTTTCCTCCCGGGACAGGAAGCTTTTAAATTGTTGGCTTATTATATATTTCATTAGGCAAAGTCTGCACTTGACTGGCTACTTTTGCCATTCCCAAGACCACCAGTTAGTGGTATTAGTTCTGGGTGAGTGGAACACCTTTAACAAGCAGCTGGAGAAGGTATGCATGTTCCTAGATTACTGACTTTCCACCGACTAGTCTTTTAGGAAAGCTACACTGTTCCCACGGAAATTAACAACCATTCAACTCGGACAGGCTTGAAATCTTAAGGCCAAAGTGGGGAAAAATTGGATCGTTATGGGTTGGGTTACTGCTTGAGGAGGGCAGGCGGGAGTTAATGAATGCAGAGTGTCAAAATGAGACTTTATTAAACGTCTCATTAAAACTGTAGGAAAAACGAACCTCTCCTGGTCCCAGAGGACTAAAAAAAAAAAAAGCTTCAAAAACCCAACCAAACAAAATTTAGGAAATACAGGCGGCATAAATTCATTCTGGTTGCTTGGAAGACCACCTCCCCTGTCGCCTCCAGCCTGAAAGTGGGCACAAGTGTGACAATTTTGCAAAAACAGCTTCCAAAACTATTTTTCAACGAGAAACGGTGCGCCCCAAGAACTTCAGGGTGGAAAGCACGTCACTCAGCCAAACGTTCTCCCTCCGCCGCTAACCTTTCCGCCTTTCCCACCCCGCCACTCCCCCTCCGCCGCAGCCTCCAGCCAGGGGGCGTTTGTTTACGTGACGTCAGCCGTAGTAAGCAGTCCCCGCCCCCGTTTCCCTCTGGCCGCCTCGTTTCCCGCGCCGCGGCGCTTCTCCCCTTAAAAGGACAATAGAGGCCCCGGGAGCGCGCGCGGCCGCCGGGCCTTCTCCCCTCCCAGCCCTCGACGCGCGCGCGCCCGTATGCAAATAAGTTCGATTCAGGAGAATTTTGTACCGGGAGACGCGCGTGCGCAGAGGGAAAGCGGAATCTACACCTTCTCGGCCAGCGGTAGCAACTGCAGAACTGCAGGAGACAATCTTTCTAGACAAGGCAGTTGAGGAGGAGGGAGCGATTGGAGGGGGGGTTGGCTTGGCGTGCACTCCGCACCTCGGGAACGTTATTGCGTGTGGAACGGCTGCCTTTGGAAGGTGAGTGACTCTAACCATTACTCTGGTGCAAAACTGTCTCATGAGGCTTTGATTTCAGAGTGTTTTTTTTTTTTTTTCCTCTTTTCACCTCCCCCACCTCCCCCAGTCCTTCCACACACATACGCACACACACACGCACGCACAGGAAGTTTTGTCTTGGAGATGGCATTGCTGGGAGCAATGTTCTCGTGATCTTCAAACCCCGGGTTCTTTTGTATACACGTTAATGTGTCTTTTTAATTGGGGAGGGTAGTGGAGGCAAACCGAAAGTCTTGGGGTGGGGGAAGTGAGTGGAGGCTGCTAACGAGTGAGGAGTCGCCGGAGTTGAGGGATCCACGTTGAAGGTGACAATGACTTTTCTCAGCCCTAGTGTTCTGTGGCGGAAAGGAGCTGGGTGGCTGGAAGGCCCGAGAGAAAAACGACTTGCTGGCAATTGCGGAGGGGCCCGGGGCTGGTGCATCCGCGTGGGCGCGCGCCCCGGGAGTGGTCGGGCGCCGTGGTTGAACCTCGTGGTTTAGTTTCATTGCAGCCCCCCGCGCGTGTTTGAGAAGGGTGGACAATAAACGCCATTCGCTCGGAAACTTAAGTTGCCGTCTACTTGCGAGCTGGCGGGCGTGAGGGGGTTTTAAATCGGCCATTTGGGTCAGCGCCGGGGTGGCCGGGGTGCACGCGGCGTGGCGTTGTTTGCCGAACTCCGGAGGGATGCGGATGCGACAATGAGAGCAACACGCGGCCGCTCCGAAGCAGCCCGGCTCCCCAACGCCTCTTCCCCCGGGACCGCGCCCAGGCAGCGCGGGGGGCCGATGTGTCTGTGGAGCCTCAAGTTTTGTTCGCAATTTATTCACCTGTAGCGTAGATGTGGGCGCCACGGCGGGGGCTTTCTGGGGTAACCGTGTGCGGCTTAAGATGGCCAGTCAGAGCCAAGTTGACTTGGGGATGGAGGCAGCGGCGTTGTCTGCGCCGAAGGAGTGAGAGAACTCTTGAGGGCACTGCTTTTTGTGCTGAACATGACAGACCACGTGCTTGGGGCTGCGACCCTGGTTTTCGCCGGAGGTCTGTGTGAGTGTCCGGCTCCGGGCCGGCAGTGAGATGCGGGTGTTGTTGGGGCCGGCCGGCTGGCAGGACAATGTGATTTGCTGATGATGGCGTCTTGCCAGTTTAAAAAGCAGAGTGAAAGTCGCCAACTCTCCGCTGGTGCGGGGCGGGTAATCGGGCGTTTCTCATCAAGGACACTGAAAAACTTTGATTAAATGGGCTTGCTGCTGAGGGGAGGAAGGGGGGACAGGCTCCGGGCTCTCAGGGCGCGGGGCCCGGACCCTTCGCCAGGGTGATCGTCAAGTGTCTCGCCTCTGAGAAACAATCCGACATCCCTGATGCTGCACGTAGGCAGCGCCCGGCTGGACAGAAAACAAAGAGCTGCATGTGCCCGTGCGGGCCCCGCCGGCGCTCGGGGCGGAGGGCCGTGCGGGCCCGGCCCCCCGAACTTCGGGCGAGTTTCGAGAGGGGCTTTTGTTCCTCAGCCCCTCGCGGGGAAACTTTGGCGGCGCTGCTGGTGTGAGGTGCCATGCTGGTGCGCGGGGAGGCGGCGTGCTCCGCGCTCCGGGCGGGCAGGGAGGCGGCGGTCTCGGGGCCCCGGCGCTTCAGGACGGGCGCCGAGTGCCGCGACGGCCGAGGGGCCGGGAGAGCGTGGCCCCGAGTTCTTGGCCCGTTACCCGTGGCCCGGAGCCTGTGTCTGGGAGGTCTGTGGATTCGCCTTTGAAGTCGAACTGTTGCCATGTTTGAATTACGTCAGGGCAAAGCCATGAGGAGGAACAAGCCCCGGCAGCGCGGCGTGCGGGAGGCGCGGCCTGCGGGAGGCGCCGGGCGGGCGGGCGGGCGTGCGCGGGGGCCCGTTGTTCCGGCGCAGGTGAGGGAGGAAGCGGCGAGGGACTCGGGTCACCTCCTGCCGCCTTCGCCCGGGCGAACAGCTTTCCGCAGCAACTTTCTTCCCGACCCAAGTTGTTCTATTTACCAACAAACCCACCGGGGAGCGTTTCTATTTGCTGCCGTGGTGCCTCTCTCTCGGCCGTCACCGCGTGCCGAGGTCGGGGGGGCGCGTTTGGGGGGGCCCGAGGGCCGCGGGAGGACTTGGGGAGGCATCTTGCTGCTTTCTGGGAAGCCGGTGCGTGCGGCGGGCACCCCCAACCCCCCGCAGCCGAGCCGTGGCCCGCACGTTAAGGGGACCCAGCCCCGACGACGCCCGAAAAAACCACCGTGAGGAAGTTTCGGGGCTCCCCGTTGTCGTACAAGGGGAAGTGAGGACTGTAGCTGAATTGTGCGTGCCGCTGTTTTCTTTGTGTGTTTACGTGTGGGAGGGGGATCCCGGAGGGGCGAGGTTTGTTTTGGTTGCGGGTGGGGTTGGTTTCTTGGGGTGGCAGGGCGGTGCAGTTTGTTCTGGTAACTAGACCTAGTAGGTTTCTTTGTTTTTATTTTCTCCGTCTAACCTGGGGTAACTCACTACAGGCACTGGGAAGGCTAGGAATTACTGATGAGACCAACACGGACCCTGTGTGAGGCAGTTTTACCTCAGCAATACTCCCCCAGTCCCCACGCCTCACGTTGTCCTAAGGAAGGCTGAAAAAACTTTTTTTTCTTTTTCTTTTAATAATTAAAAATAAGAATTTGACCTTGTCATTAAAAGTACACTGAAAGCACCTGTTTTTGAACAGGAGTTTGCCGGACTTGAAAAGCCTTTTAATGATGTGGGTCGCAAAACCGAACACGTTCATTTAGTTGCTCAATCTAAAGTCTGGGAGTTTGTTTCTGGTGGAGTTGGAGAAAAGCCTGATGGCATTTAAAGTATTTATATAACCATTTGGGGAAGGGGGAAAATCTCTCTTAGGCCTAAAGGTATGCCTGGCTCAATGTTTGGTGATTGTTCACTGCGTTATCTAGGATGACCTTGAAGAAGCTAGCTCGTAGGGAGTTGGGCCTTCCTTGGAGATATTATATGGGGGTTGGGGAGGAAGCTAATCAGGGGGATGACAGGGTAAAAGGCTACAGCTATCCCTGCTAGCTGCTTCCTAGTTCCTGTGAACTGGGGTTGACCTTCTGGTTACCCCTCTTAGATTTTCTTTTCAAGCCAACTTTTTTCTTTTTTTTTTTTTTTTAATGTGGCCCCAGGCATAGCTCAAAAATTATGCTGGTTTGACACATGGATGCTTCTTTGGTATTTGGGGTTTGCTTGCAGTCTAGACAGCCGATAAGCAGCACCGTATCTGCTGCTTCTTTCCTGATTTCTCCTGCGCTTGGATCATGTTTAAGGGTTAGAATCTAAAAGTGGTCTTACCAAAAAAATAGTATCCTTAGATGCCACGCCCAACAACAACAAAAACCCTCTACAAATTGTGCTTTTCATTGTTCTGTTATTAAATAGACATGTTTCTCCCAAGTTTTGGTTGACCAAAGTACAAATACTTAAAGGCAGCCAATACTAGTAACAGTACATTTCTCAAGTGGGTGGGTAGAAGGAACATGTCAAGAAAATGAAAAAGTTTGTATTCAATAACTTTATGAATTTCTTTTGTGCAGTTATTTCTCTGGGTTATTTAAGAAGCATAAGAGATGCTTTGTAAGTACACTAAGATTCTTTGATTTGTTTTTCTTAATTAGTATTTTATATCTGGGATACAGCTAGAATTTCAGTGTTCTGGGAGATTTCAAATACAAAAGAGCTTAACAATTTTTATTTTAAGATTTTATTTATTTGACAGAGAGAGCACAAGCAGAGGGAGAGAGAGGGAGAAGCAGGCTCCCTGCTGAGCAAGGAGCCTGTTGTGGGACTCGATCCCAGGACCCTGGGATCATGACCCGGGCGGAAGGCAGTCGCTTAACCGACTGAGCCACCCAGGCATCCCAACAGTTTTTATTTTAAATATCACATGATATGTGCAAGGGAGATTTGATTTATCAAGGTGAATGAATGGAGAGTGGGAAAGACTGACAGACAAGGTCTACCGCCTTTCTTTTTGCATTACTTTTTGAGGGAGTTTGGAGATGAAATAGGTAGTGCATTCTGGAACTTTGGTGGGCAGCAGGCCTCAAGACTGCTGTTGCGTCGTATTCTTAACTCTACAGGTCTGGAACCTGGATGGTCAATTTATTTTCCCAGTTGTAATCAGGCCCTGGAAAAACCTGGCTCATGGGGCTCAGACTCCAGCAGATTTATGTCAGAAGAGCAATTTGAGAATGATTTTCCATGTAAAATAAGTTTTTCACTGGTGAAAGCTTAAGCTTATTTGAGATCCAAACCAACTGCATAAGCTGTTAGGAGGACAAATTAATTTACCATGCTAACACATAGTAGGTTGTTTTTAAAATATGACCATTTATTTACTTATACTTAAAGGGAATATAATTGGCTGAGAAAGAAGGGAACCCATTTGTTGAGGCACTAGGTTGGTTGGTCGGAAGTTGGGTTAAAATGCCTAGGTTTCAAAGCTGTGATCATGTTAAATAAGTCACTTTGTGGTCCAATTTTCTCCTCTGCAAAATAGTAATAATAATACTTAACAAAGCTATAAATAGTTAAGTAATGTACTTGGTAAATATTGGCTGTTCTCACAACTTTGGGAAGTAGACATTTTACAGGAGACAAAACTGAGGCCCGGGGCCAGTAACATTGCTGCAGGAAATATTCAGTAAATGTTGAGTGGAAGGAATGAGTGTCTTTGGCCCTCTCCCCCCACCTTCAGAAACTGGTTCTGGGAAGACATTGTCTTCTACACCAGGTTGCCTGTCCAGTTCTGATTGAACCATTTTATATCAAAAACTTGTGGAAATCAAGAAAATGCCATTTTCTTTCTTCCTGATTTCTCTTGTCCACAAGAGTCCTGGATTTCCCACACTTAGTTTTGACTCTGGAAGATAATGAAAACATTTCATTGTCTTTTGGCTCTTCGGTTTCTTTTTTATTTATTTATTTTTTTTTAAAAGATTTTATTTATTTGAGAGAGAGGTAGAGAGAGAGCACAAGTAGGTAGGGAGAGGGAGAAGCAGGCTCCCCGCTGAGCAGGGACCCTGACATGGGGCTCGATCCCAGGACCCTGGGATCATGACCTGAGCCACCCAGGTGCCCCCAGTTTCTCTCTTAATTGAGTCTATAACTAAGGTTTTCTGTATTATGGAAATAATCTGGAAATGCATCTAGTCCAAGAGAAGGCAGTTTGTTTTCAAGGAAGGTTTTCTTTTTGCACCAGAAATATGAGAGTTGCAATTGAACTAAAGTAATTCATTGCTAGCTTTTTATTGAGTTGTTTCCACCTATTATAAGTTTGATCTGTCTTAATGTAATTTTAATTTGGTT